CTGATGCCACATACACAACGTCACATGATAAAACTCGAGGATAAACTAAAACAATTGCAGGCCAACTGCTACATGCTACAACTTCATGCGAACACTTCACGTCTTCACTCTGACTATCAGATACACCGCGTACCTCGCCATCTGATTGGCTGATCACGGAAGCGAATTTTTGCCCTTTCCCTGCGGTTAACGTCTAGTCAAATAGGCACTTTTCTGTAAAACTGGCGAATTACCGCGAAGAGGGCGCTATCTACCGGAGTGAAAAACTTGCGTCTTCACACTTTACATATTACGCATTACGGTCAAAGAAAGAGTGGACAGCATGAAATTGCAATTAAACAGTGAGTGACGGCACTTCACTCTTTATATGTACACTGTATGGTATGGGATAATGCATTTCATGAAAATTTGGCGACCCCCAAAAAACTTCTAGCGACCCCCACAGGGGTCGCGACCCCTAGTTTGCGCACCACTGGTCTAGACCAGAGGTGTCAAACTCAATTTTCCAGAGGGCCGTATATTAAATTTAGAATGTGTAGGCGGGCCAGATTCAAAAAAATAAAATGTACTGAATTATTATAACATTTTATTTATTTAATTATATAGTATATAATATACGGTTGTTAAAAATCGCATCGAAGTTTAAAAGAGGATAATTATTTTGAGCTCGAGGATCCAGATACTGACTTCTCCTGTTTTTGACAAGCTCATTGATGTCCGGTTTCATATTTGTTGTAATTATTTTAAGAATTGATTGGAAATGTTCATTCGTAAGTCTTGTACGATGTTCATACCTGCCAACTTATAATCCTTTCAAGGATGATATTCCCCAGTGGTAGTAATATAAAATTTAAATTACAATTTTAAGCAGAAAAATTTGCTGTATTTTGTACAAGCTTGTGCGGATTACTACAACAGGGTTACATATTTTTATATATGCTTAATTTTTTTAAAAATAGTGGTGGATCAAAAATATTATAAATTAAGTTTATAAATGCAAGGAACATATAGAAAGCATACATTTTACTACCACTTTAAATATAGAAATAAAATTTTACGATAAATGCGTAAAAGTTGGCAGGTATGGATGTTTGTTCTTATTTATTTTCATGACGGAAAACATCTGCTCGCATAAATAGGTGCGACCCAGCATGCATAGACTCGAAGCGCGTGGAAGATTCCGTTTGCTGCTAGGAAATGGCGTTACTGTCTATCTCTCTCGCTTGTCTAGGCCCGCGCTGCCCTTGAAATTACTTATAAATGTAGTGTGCGCACTTTAAAACGTCTGTAGAGGAATCGAGTGAAGTCTAAAAGCTCTAAAAAACATGATTCTTCTGTCTGTGAGACATTGTGATCGCGGGCCGTATCTTTGACATGACTGGTCTAGACGAAGACGACTGGCAATGCCGATGTGTAAATAAAGAAATAAAAAAAAGAAGGATTGGAAACTACGAATAGAAAATATATTTACGTTACAGTACTATACAAACGCTATACTTTATATTAACGCTATACTCTATACAAACGCGATCACAGTGCCACTGCCTTAAGACGATACAGGCCATTGCGTGGTGTCTGCGAAATGCTTAGTTATCATCTGATATCTTATTTGCGTATAGGCGTTACTTATTTTGCTCTTTAAAAAAAATCCGTTCCCCCCTTTAATTGTTTTCACCAGTGTATATATTACCTATCCTATTTGGCTTTTTGAAAGCGTGTTTAAGTCTTACCTAAATTTTACTGAAATACCAGCTTAAAATTTCAATTGACATTGCATTTCCCAACCCCTAAAAAATAACTACTTTATAATGAGTAAACTTTGGAGGATATGCTGCTCAATTTCAGTAATTAATGTAGAATTTAATATTATTAATATATTTGCGTTAATGATGTTAATGTTCATATTTTTCAATATAAAAGCTAAATGAAATAATTGAGATACCAGTCTTAAACATTTTGAAGAAGAGAAACGTTTCAAAAATGGAACATAGGTGTTATTAATCGGTTAGATATTAATTTGCTCAAGTTTTCGTTCACAATTTTGGGTAAAGTTACTTTTATCGATTCAAATTCTACAGATAGATATTTTAGGCATAAATCTATACCAAACGTTTTTTTCCCACTAAAATATTAATTTATTTCCACTAAAATATTAATTTATAAGCAATCTTTTTTTTAACAGCAAATGTTTAGAAAGGTTTTACATGGCGAAATTGTTATCACAATTTAAAATATCATGCTTGAAGGTTTTATAAATGGCGTCATTTTTACTCATGCAAAATTTGTGTCGACCAAAATGAGCGTCGGAAGTTTAAGGCTTTTTTTTCCTTTTTTAACCCCTTCCTTCTCGCTCCCGTGAAAATGACGGAGTGAGGTTTCGCCCTTTATTTCTCACTCCAGTAAAATTTCCGAGCTGGAGTGTTCAGTAGTAACGAGCCAATAAGAATAAAACTAGTTCATTTCTTTTGCTCGAAAAATATTTTATTTCTCATTTTACACACCAGATGGCAGTACCAGGATATTTTTAAGGTAATTGTATATAGTTAGTTTATTTTAAACTAGATGTCAGCACTAATCAAATACGTGTATTTGGCAAAATAGGCACTTTTATGACAGTTTTCTTGAAAATTAACCTATCGTTAAGAGGTTAATAAACTACAACATTAAAACATTTTTGCATAAATATCACAATATTTCAGAATGGTTTCAAAATTGCTAATATTAAAGCTGAAAAGAAGCTAATAACTTCCTTTCCTCATTCTGACAAATCTGAATTTTGTATGAGTAAAAATAACATCATTTCTAAATCCTTTAAGCATGATCTTTTAAATTGTGCCAACAATTTTGCTACGTTAATTTTCACGAAACATTTGCTGTTAAAATTGTTTACATAGAGTTAGTATAGAAGGATTCGTATTATTTTGTTTTCCATCAATGTGAAGATGCTTACCCGAGCTGCCACCGGCAGTTCTTGCATTATCATATGGATTCTTAGTCATTCCAAATACATGATTGGCACTCTCCCACCACATGCAGTATTCTGGGACATTTGTGACTGTAAGAGGAATGGCACCAGCTTTCCTGTACAGTGCTGCTGTTTTAGAATCTTGTTCAGCTTTTCTATCCTTAAAACACATCGCACCGAAAGTGATTAACAAACCTACATCCGAGATAAATCATTTAATTTAAAACAAGTATTTTTTTTTCATGAAAAATTGGTTTGAATACAATAAATACAAAATACGTTTTAGTTTTTCAGCATATCATGGATGTTTTGAAAATTCAAACTCGTTTCTCAAAAACTTTTATCAATAATGTCTACAATATTCTGTTATTCACATTTTCAAGTTCCGAAGTGGTTTCGATCCGAGTGGGCGCGATCCTGTGCAGTTACGAGTATATGTGCCGTGGATTGATTTTCACAATTATTTTAAAGAACATGTTTACATGAAAGTGAAGGTCTGTGAAACGGCACTGCTTTATCTTTTTAAACACGTTTCACCTCTCCAGGTGATTATTGTATTCATGTATAATTTGTCTATGGAATGAACTCTCCTCGCCATTCGTCTGGAGCAATGGTGATAGATTTATAGGTCTAACTATTTCCAGCAGAGGTGTAGGGTCAAAATTTAAGACATGTTCTGGCTCGGGCCGAAGAGAGAAGCTCCCTTTATTGAAATGTGCTATTTCTCGCTTCCACAGCAGCAGACTACCTTTAGTCTATTGAAAGAAATCTCTTCCTTCCTTTCTCGCCACAAAGTCTATTTTATGCCCAGGGGTGTTCTTTCTATAGACAAACTACACTGAAGAGCCAAAAAAAACTGGTATACCTGCCTAATAGCGTGTAGGGTACCCGCGAGTACGCAGAAGCGCCGCAACACAACGTGGCATGGATTCGATCAATGTGTGAAGTAGTGCTGGAGATAATTGACACCATGAATCCTGAAGGGCTGTTCATAAGTGGGAGTAAGAGGGGGTGGGGTTATCTTCTGAACATCACGTTGGAAGGCATCCAAATATATTCAATAATGTTCATGTCTGGGGATTTTGGAGGCCAGCGGCACTCTTCTGAATTTAGACACTTCCGCTGGCCACCAAAATTCCCTGACATGAACTTTATTGAACATATTTGGGATGCCTTCCAACGTCATGTTCAGAAGATATCCCCAGCCCCTCTTACTCCCACTGGTTTATGGACAGCACTGCAGGATTCATGGTGTCAATTGTCTCCAGCACCACTTCACACATTGATCGAATCCATGCCACGTCGTGTTGCCGCGCTTCTGCGTACTCGCGGGTACCCTACACGCTATTAGGCAGGTATAGCAGTTTTTTTTGGCTCTTCAGTGTGCATTTCTGTTTTATGCAGTGGACATATTCAAATCTGGCTTACAAAGTGGTCAAAGGTTTGGAAAAATTTAAAAAAATTTAAAAAGAGGCGATAAATGTTTTATAATGTTATCGTAAATTTTATAGGCTTTAATTTCACATCAATTTTCGGAATCAGTTGGTCAGTTGTAACACAGATAATTACTTTGCAAATATTTTCAGTTGATAGTAATTTTTTAAAAAAGTTTTAGTTCCTCAATCTTTTCTGGAATGTGGCTACTAATTATTTTCAAATCAAATTTACAATTACCACTTAGGCAGAGTAATAGAAACTTTTCACAGTTCGGGGTTGAAAATTCAAGGCCAAAACTTTGCCAATCCAAAGCAATACGTTAATAAAGCTTTGCCGATCCCTAACTTCACGGGTACAAAACTTAGCTGGTCTAAAACTGCCCCCACTTAGAACTTCTAAATTGACATTGAACATTTTTTTTAATTATTTTTAAATAAAAATAATAAAATAATAATATTTATTTAATATTTTTATTACTATCAATTTATTAAAAATCATTATGTTATTAATAATAATTTAATCAATTAATTAATTAATAATTTTATTTTATTAAAATTAAATTATTTGTAAATTTAAAGCTTTAAAACATTTACTTTTCAAAATTAACCTAACGCTTTTTCTTAAAATTAAACATTTTGTTAAAATAGCAACATTAAGCAATAAATTAATTATGCATTGGAAGTTATTAAAATTCGATAAAGCACGAAATATTTTCATTAAAATTAATACATAAATAAATTATTCAAAAGGAAATTTTCTTACAAATAAAACGAAAAAATTAAGCTTGTAACACAAATTTCTTTAAATAACATGAAGCTTTTTTTCGTCCATTTTTTTTACTAAAATTATAAAATATAAAAAATAAAAAAAAACATTTAATTCAGTATTTTAAATTTTATTAAAATTAAATTATGAGCTGAAATTATTAACATTTTCAAATCTATACAACTTATTTTATTAAAATTAACTTGTAATTAATGTTATGTTGATTAATTATAGATTTCCATTCAAAGTTTTGTCCACGCGAAGTTTTATCCCCGTGAAGTTTTGTCCTCGTGATGTTTTGTTCAAGCGAAGTTTTAGCCGCCAAGTTTACCAATTCGATTTCATGGTTGGTTTTAATTTAATCGATATTATGGTTCAGTAGAACCTTCATTTTTAACTATGTCGTTTTTAAGTGCATTTAATGAAAATATGATAATTTTACCTTTAACACCGATTGCTTCTTTGCATGTAAATGGAACTCCCAAAAGTGGTGTATCTTCAGCTATTGAGGATTCACATTTCCATGTTGTAGCTAGATATGCATCGACATTCTTCGCGTCTTCTAAGGCTTCGTCATATCGTTCGTCAGTGACAGCGTTTATAAAGGGATGGACTTGTTTGGATCTCTCAATATAGGCTCTGACAACTTCTTCACACTTCATCTGAAATATTTATTGTTCTACGGTAAGTGTCTATGCTATAAGATGGCCAAAATTTAATACAAAATTATAGTACATTGATAAGATAATGTTAATTACATTTTTACAATAGAACTAAATACTTATTGGGAAGTAATGACAAAAAATGAATTTTCTATTCTCTGGATTCTATTTTAAGTACATAAACCTTTTCTGGACAGGTGAGTCATGAATGTGTTCGTACAGAATCAGAATCAGGAGTAACAAAATTAAAAAGCGGTAGCTCAAGCTTGGGCATGGCTTATTTTTTATAGTCTTATTTTTGCTTTCATTTTAATTCCAACATATCTTATCAATGCCACTTAAAAGTGTAACTATATAATTTTTTATTTTGAATTAAGTAGTGATTCATTAAGTAAATCAAACTATTGTTACTACTTCTCTCAACTAATGTGCTATAGAAATATTTTGCTTTCCAGTTTTACTTATTTTACCCTGATTGCACCATTTTGAGAATGCATATATGACTCCTCCGTCGAGAAGTGGTCAACAGCAAAAAATATTTATAATTTAATAGTAAAATAAAATAGTTTGATGACGGTGATTATTTCCCATTAAATGTTATAATAGCAACTGGCCCAATATTCAAACCGTTAACCCTTTCTGGAACAGTAAATTTTGATTAAAGAGTTTCAACTGGACATTAGCAAGCATTAACAAAAATAAAATTCTACACACATGGGTATAAGATACACATTAGCTCTGCCTATCAGTATCCACATATGTTAGCTTAGTTAATCTGTCATAAGAGATATCCTTATTTCCACCTTTTACCAAATGGTGGGATAATTAATTTCACTCCTATTTGCTGAAATTTTAAATTATGTTACTTTGGTGTTCAAAATTAAGAGATTAGCTGGATTATCTTCCGAATTGATGCACAAATTTTAATAAAGTTTGATATTAGCATAGGTCGAAATAGGCATAAAAAGTGCCTCTGAACAGTTATAATATACGCCACACTCTTTTGAGTCAAAAAATATGAAACAGGTAATTACAAATACGGTAAAAAAATCTTTATGTTGGTGAAGCTTCTCTCAAAAAACATACATCATACATTCCGGATTTCAAATTGGAAATAAGGGAATTTAATAGCTTCTGAGTCCAACTTGCTTAGCTACGTTGTTTTCAGATCATCAATGGAGTCAAAAAGGTATGGCGATTTTCATTAGCCGCCCTCCTAGTGCGTCCTAGTTACGATATGTGAGGTTGATGTCTGGTGATCTGACTGGCAAATCTATCTGGCGAAGAGTCTCAGAAATTGGTAAAACAGATTAAACCTACATGGCCATGCATTGTCGTAGAAGGAAATGCATTATAGGAGACTGCACCCTTGAAAAAGCTAACAAAGAGCTTTAAGATTTTCATAAGATTTCAACGCTCTGAAAGAGATAGAGTGTTCTGCAGATAGTCAGCTTGATGACTGGCCAAGCCATCAGACTTTCATTGTCATGAATGTCAATTTTTCGGATATTGGCAGGTACCATGTTTTCTTCAAATGAAAGTAATAAATGACACTAGAAATCTCCTTAAACATTGAACAAAAAATCAAGATAAATAGCAATTTTGTAACTCTTAGTAATATATTTCAAAAGGTAAGACGTTTTTACTTTAAGATCAGTAAGATTACTATTATAAAATGAAAATTTTCGTTGCATGAAATATTAACTATCTTTAGAGCATTGTGTAAATTGAAGATTTCTGTATTCTTTTTTTACCTCTTTTTTGCGAATTCTCTCTGCGAGTTCTGTAGCTGACATCAGGAGAATAGCATTTTTGATGGGAGGGAGGATCTTAGATCGACCCATGACCAGATGGTAAATGAAATCTAAAACGTAATCGGATACGGGCCATGTTAACGTCACAAGTATGCGTACCAAATCCGCAAAAAACTGAGAAATCTAAGGGAAAAATAGTTAAATAAATATAGTTAATATTAATAAAAAAATTTCGTAGCCTAGAAATATATAAAAATGATTCGTTTTTTAAAAAGTAGAAGACATGTTGTTCATGTTTCATTTTCAGAAGCTTTCTGTTTTAAATTATAGCTATTGAATACGAAAAGAATTGGAAATGTGCTGTCTGACGCTATCTGCTGCTGAAAAAAACTGTGAAACAACGTTTCTTGCTTCATGTCAGAATTTAATCTAAATAGTTGGACTGGTATTCTTTACATTTGTCGTTCGACTGTGTTACATTAGCGTCGCAAATAGTTGTTACAGTGAAACTTCCAGGAAAGACCACCTCCATGTAGCGACCCCCTCTATATTACGACAACTTTTGGGTGGCAAGGAATTTTTTCTATAGACTTTGTGTCGAAGAAAACGTTCAGGAGAGACCATCAAAACTCCCAGAGATCGGACAAACCATTGCACCAAATGTGAAGAAGATCAAATAAGGAAACTCGAAAAAATATCAAAACAAAGAATATTAACAAAACAAATAAAGTAGATCAAAATGTATTTGAAATGTTTGTGCTGGGCTGTTATTAAGACAGCTCTTTTGGACTATCACTGAAATAGACCTACACCGAAGAACCATTACATTATGACCACCCTGCTAATAACATGTAGGACCACCTTTAGCCCTCAAAACTGCTAGCACGTGCCGTGGCATTGGTTCCACAAGGTGCTGATAGGTAGTCTGAGGTATCTGGTACCAAGCGCTCACCAACTGGTCCTGCAATTCCTTCACATTGCGAGGGGGTAGCACGGCAGCACGAATTTGGTTTTTCAAGTAGGACCACAGATGCTCTATTGGATTAAGGCCAGAAGAATTTGGGGGGCAAGACATGACTTGAAAGTCACTGGAATGTTCCTCGACGATTCGATCCTTATGGCATGGTGCATTATCTTGCTGGTAAACACCATCCCCAGCAGGAAAAACTGTTGCCATGAATGGGTGAACCTGGTCTGCAACTATGTTCAAGTAGCTTACAGACGTCAGGGATTGTTCTATGAGGATTATGGGTCCTAATGTGCCCCATGAAAACATTGTTCCTGGGCAAGAAACCATGAAAACCTGGGCTAGCCCATTGTTATAGATGGAGGGTGGTCATAATGTAATGGCTCTTTGGTGTATAACCTCAAGTAGTTGTCAGAGTGCACAGTGATTATTTTTTGATTATTATTCACAATGATTTCTTTAGAGTCGAAAGTTAAATTAGAAAAGTTAATTAGTTAAATGAGTTATTTTATAAAAAAAAATAAGCATCTTAAACAAATAAACCTCTTCTCATTTTTATAAGCTAACTAATTTTTATGATATAAAATCAAATGCAAACTTAAACATAAAACATAATTGTTTATTTATTTAAACTAATTCTATCATTTATAATTTTACTTTATTTTATAATCGTCGTTGAACAGATGACCCAATTTTTTGGATTTACGACTACTATTGTATAACTTCGTAGTTTTGTAATTTTGAAGCCAATCAAGAGCACAAGGGAACTCCTGGATCAAGTATTGGGAGAAATTTGCTTTCGTGGAGCACTTTTTGATGAAACTAACGCGCATTTGCGTTACTTGGAGAGGAGGACCACGAGACCTCACAAGGTTAGCCCGGCGACCAGGAGTCTCTAACCCACGATCTGTCTACCACTGAGGATATTTTACGTCAGCACTGTGGTCGGTGCAAGCCAGATGCGGAAGTCGTATCGATCAGACATCGCTAAGATTTGAAAACGGTTCACCTCATTGGAAGGCGAACGTTCTATCCCTTGATTCATAATTAATCATTTTGTTTTTACACAAATAATTAGATCAGTAGGGATCATTTTATTGACTCTAAATTTTATTCATTGATCCGGTTTTCATGATGCCAATACAAGTGACATTTCCGCACGAAGAAAATGACACTGCAAAAATTAAAATCGTTTGCGAAAAATCATGTACCTTCGATAACATTTCGAAGACAATGGAAGTTACCCTTAAGAACGACCAACCTAAGAACGGCCATTTTTCTGTGGAACAGAGAGTGGTCGCTCCAGAGAGGTTTCGTTGTATTTTGTAACTTAATTTTTCCCGATTTTCGGAGTAATCTGTTGGCGAACTTGGTAACTAATTTAAAAACTTGGTGAGAATAAATCTTCTGGTTTCCTAAGCAGAACGCATAAACGCATTTCCATCCCCTAATGCTTATTTTTAATTAATTTTTCAAATTACTGGTCATTTTGGGTTGCCGTTTACAGGCGACTAGAGACAGGTGACTTAGAGGAAAATTGCTAGTGGGGCCATGGGCCAACATGGACTGTAATGCCATGGAGTTAGTTTAGTTAGTTTACATTTCATACACGATACATGTTTATACATGTTTGAATTTCTTGATTTCATTCATGTTGATTTCATTCTTACATGTTTACATTACACAACGATACATGTTTACATTTCTTGATTGTAAAAGCTGACTTTCTGTTTGTTTATATTTCATAACCTCTCTCCTTCTCAATAATAGAATTGCCAAATTCTCATTGAAAAGAGTTGCTACATTTACTATTTTCTTCTGCTTTTTTCTGCTTTAAAGAAGTTTTCTTCCTTTAATTAATGCATTGATTATTATTTATCGCAGTTGGATAAGGATATACGGTAGAGTGGAACGAAAATAATATTTTCGATAATTGAAAAACCCTGCTTTTTAAAAGTTGAATGGATACATCTTTTCATAAAGGATATTTATAAATTCATTTAGTGAAATATATTGGCATTAAAATACTGTACATAATTATCTTTCTCAGAATTTTTAGAAACGAGTTCCATAGTTGAAAGTGAATTACTGGCGATTTTAAGTTGTTTATGTGTTTTGTCACATTTGTAGTCACAAAATTTTTCTTTTAATGGCAATGCAAGAATTTGAAAAATTGAATTGTCTGAATTATCTTACTGAATTGGCTAAAATATCTTATAACAATATTAAAAATAAAACATTTTTTATTGATATATCATTAATTGTGATTTTAATAAATAAATTAACAATTCATTTGCCTCATCACGAATTACAGCAACTTCGACGATATTGGCTGAACAAGTATTGCTATTCAAATTAAGTATGAAGTAAACGTTCAACTGAAAACGATTATTTTGTTGATTAATATCAGGAATTTGCTTATTACATTAAAATTTATTTCTAAGTCTATAAAATTATATGAATATAAAGTAAATAAACTTTCGACTAACAATGATAATTTTGTTGTTGAATATCAGGAATTTAATTTAGCATTGCATTAAAATAATTAACAAGACTTTAAAACCATATGAACATAAAGTAAGAAAATATGAAAAATATATTTACTAGTTTCACAAGTCTTGCCATTATTTCAGCGTTCGAGACTTTTACTTTTAAAGAGGATTCATCTTCGTCCTAAAAGATATAGACAATGAAACGAAAATTGAATTCGCTTCCTCATTTTTTACAGTTATTAAGATTTTGACTCCACGCGCTCGAGAAATTTGCAATAAATTTGATGATGGCAATGTAATAATGAGCTTAAAAACTTCGTGAAAATGATTCGCACGTGAAATGATGAGCTTTAAAACTTCGATGTTTTGCTTTCCTCAAAAATTATTTAAAATAAAGTAAACAGAAAGTTAATGTTTTTAAAATTGCCACAAGGAAGTAACTTTAAAATATTAGTTTGAAGAAATTTAACTTCAAGTAAACAAGTTTTGTTATTCTACCTTTAACTTTAACAGCATGTTGAACACCACGCTAATTTTACATGACTTGCCATCTGGCCACGGTAAATAACTACGAACTAAATTTGCAAATATTAGACGGATTTTGCTATTTTTTTAGAAGGTGTATCATGATCTATCCGACAAAAGTGGTGAATTATATAAGCCTACGAATTGTTTAAGAATAGTGGTGGATAAAAATCTACTAAATTGAATTTATTAAACCAAGAATCACAATAATTAAGTAAATTTTGAATTAATTTTCTGCAATTCCATAAGAGAGTGTAAATTTTATAGTTCTATATCATGTTATACGATGTCAGCCAGCTGTTTTTCGCGGCCTATGTGAAAGGTCAGCGTCAGCAAGTGGTGGCAGAAGCAGCCTAAATGTAATTTCAGCGTCAACCACCGGTGGTTGACGCGGCCTAAATGTAATTTCAGTGCCAGCCACCGGTGGCTGACGCGGCCTAAATGGAAAGTCCAGTGTCAGCCACCGATGGCTGAACCGGCGATCAACGTGTTAAATGTGGCTCCGGTGAAAAAGACAGACTTATTTTTTGTTTTTATTTTAATTTTAACACATCAAATGGATGCTAGTTCAAAGTGTAACTATACAATTTTAACCTTGAACTAAGTAACTAACTATTAAAACCCCGCCCACAAATAAACTGCTGAAGAAATAGCTTTCTTACTACTTTCATCTTTTTTACACCAATTGCTGCCACCTTGAGAATGCTTGCATGATTCGTTCGATTCGAAGAGGTTAATGTTACAGTTAACAAGAATCGCCGATTCCAAAAGTTAAAAATCTCATAACTTCGACATTTAATAGTGGCAACCATGCAGAGATGCCAACTTGCGCCGCTTTGTAAAAATTATTTTCTTATGGTAACAAAATTTAAGTTATTTTTAGTTTAGCAATTTTCCTCTTAAGTAATTTTTCCACCGCTACATATCAAAAATTAAAAGTATGATATAAAATGCAACTTTAATACATATTTATCATTATGAAATTTTTAAAGAGTATGTGTGATTATACTTATTTTACGAGTTTTACAATATAATTTTATAGCGATTTATTAAAACTTATGAAGAAAGTGGAGCATTTGATTTTGCATCCATACTTCATTGCAGTTATCTCGTGGTGACATTTTTAAGGAGTGGGCGTAATTATCCTTATTCTGCACCTTTTACTACTTAATTTACTACAGCCTTATTAAAACGTTCGCAGACGTACTTGTAACTTCTGAATGAAAATTTATTCCTTGCGTGGACAGCGTAAAGCTGAAACAAACATAATTGGGAAGAAACATATAAATTGGGAAGAAATGAGAAGTTAACTTCGGATAATTCATTGCAAAAAATTGTTCTACATTTTTGTTTTAATTTTACTTATCAATTCACGCAGGCTCAAAAATAATTTAGAGTTTCTTTTTATAGCTTTAATAGATTTCTTAATTACCGGAAAAGACAGATGCGTTTTATCGACAAAGATTGGCCAGATGTGATTTTATTCTTTATTTTCTCTTTTTTCGCTTTGGTTTTTATTCATTTGGGAGTTTATATTAAATTAAGGTTTTATGAGTTTATGACATAATATAGAACATATTGTACTTTCTAATACTAAAAATTAGAGTTTTTATACTATATTATTTTATATAATCATCTTGAGCATAAATTGAATTAAGTGTTTATGAATCAATTTAGTATATTTTTGTAATTTTATTTTAAAAAGAGTGTCAGCATACATACAAAGATAGATTAAAATATCCAATAAGCAAGCAAAGTGATTCGAAAGAAACTGCGACAACAGTTCCGGGGTTTGACAAGCGCAGTGAGCATGGGGTTGAACCCCCTAGTATTCTATACCAGAATCACAATTCCTACTTTGAATTAGTAATCTCAACTACTAGTTGAATGATAAATTATTGTTTTTTAAAATTATTTTATGGACTTAATGAAGTCTTTTTTAAATCGTTTGATTACTTTTTTTAAAAAAATTTTATTCTATAAAATGCTTTGATGGTTTTTCTTTATCAGTATTTTCAAGTCAAGTGTTTTGAGAGTTCATAAAGACAGAAATATATTTATTTGGAGATTTACATGGTATTTTTTTTTTCAAGAAGAAAAAATTCTGAGGTGTATCATAGAATTTGTTCGCAAAAGATATAAAAGTACAATATGTCCTCAAAAATTTCTTAATTATTTAATTAGCTACTTTCGGCATAACAATTAAACAAAAATAATAATAATATGATTCCAGATGCAATAGTCTCCCTTACACTAAAGTATTATATAATAGTGTTTTAACCCCTTAACGATCGGTTAATTTCCAAGAAAACGGTCATAAAAGTACCTATTTTTATTATCCCTGTATCCCTGATTAGTGCTGACATCTAGTTTAAAATAAACTATCTATAATTACCTTAAAAATATCCTACTGCTATCTGGTGTGTAAAATGAGAAATACATTTTTTTCCGGGCAAAAGAAATGAATTAGTTTTATTCTTATTGGCGCGTTACTACTGAACACTCCAGCCCGGAAACATCACGGGAGCGCAAAATTAAGGGCGAAACCTCACCCCGTCATTTTCACGGGAGCGAGAAGGAAGAGGTTAATGAGTTTATTTGATCAGTTATTCATGAAAATTCAGTTTTTTCACGAAAATTCTCAATGGCTGTAATCGTCACTTACTCCTTCCCACATTTTTGTTATTTTCCCCCACAAACAGAGAAAATTAAAATAATAGATATGTTATCTGGAATGCTGCATCTTTTATTCGATATATTATTGAATAATGGGATGCCGGCAAGTGACGTAGTATGTGTATCTCGATCCTAATTGTCTGTTGAAGAGTGGCATTTCTTTACGTTTTCAACAGTTCTTTCCATTCTATTTCGAGTAAGCCTAACCCGTCAATTTTCAATTCTGATAAGTGACATTCTATTTTCTTTCCCTAAGATTCTTTAACAAAGATTTCAATTCTTTCACTACATATTTCTTACTTAACACAAAGACTGGCTCGAAGCCATGTACAGCATAAACAAAGTAGCAAAGTGCATGGAAGTTGTCAGGTACGCAAAAATATATCACGGTTTCAATAAAATACATAAAGAAATAATAAATCTATGTAATGTAAAAGGCGTAGAAGAGGAATAATTGCATTTTAACAAATTAGATTTGCGATATGGTGTTGTATCTAAATAACTTTCTAACTTATGTAAAGACATTTGACTTTAAAACACTATCTTGTTTATAAATACCATCTTGTTTGTAAGCGATCAGCTGACGCTGAGGTCATAGGTCACGTGTCTGGGTATCAGTGATCATCTTCTGATCGAGTTTCAAGCACCCAATTAACAAATAAATGCACTAGTTTACTTTGTACTATTGATGTTATTTTTATATAAATTAAAATGTTAAGGACCAGTGTGTCTACCGGTCACGAATATTTTCGTGACCTTTATTCCAAATTCGATAATTTTCAAGAATTTTTAAGATGCAATTTCTCAAACGAATCTCATATTGAGGAATAGGAATTAGACTTTTAAAGGAAGTGGTAAACCTTAGGAAAATGTGCCATAGGTTTGCCATAAAAAATGGCATAGGATATTCCTATGGGGTTTTGCTTATGGTAAAATTTTGCCATACATGTATGCCAAAATTTTGCCTTATAAAAAATGCCATAGGATATTCCTATGGGGATTTGCCTATGGCAAATTTTTGCCATACGTATATGGCAAAAGTGCATGGCAAACTTTTACCATAGGCAAAACCCCATAGGAATATCCAATGGCATTTTTTTATATNAATTGGGTATAATATGAAAAAAGCACAACTACTTTCACTTACTAGGAATAACATTTACCTTTTAGTTTAATTAATAAACTGAGTTTTAAATATGCTTACTAAATTAATAAACTTCGATAAAACAACAATATAAATTATTTCCAAAGGAACTAGACTAATACAATTTCAACCTAGCGAGTAGCGACTTATAACAAGACACTTCGTTTGATGCTTTTACTTGTTGCTTGAAATCAGGTTCGCAGAAAATGCTGTTTACTAGTTAAATTTAGTAGGAATAACACGATCTGTGACGTAGGCTATAGTATACCCAATGGCTGCCACCTTGAGAATGCTTGCACGATTCGTTCGATTTGAAGAGGTTAATGTTACAGTTAACAAGAATCGCCGATTCCAAAAGTTAAAAATCTCATAACTTTGACATTTAATAGTGGCAACCATGCAGAGATGCCAACTTGCGCCACTTTGTAAAAAATATTTTCTTATGGTAACAAAATTTAAGTTATTTTTAGTTTAGCAATTTTAATCTTAAATAATTTTTCCACTGCTACATATCAAAAATTAAAAGTATCATATAAAATGCAACTTTAATACATATTTATCATTATGAAAGTTTTAAAGAGTATGCATGATTATACTTATTTTACGAGTTTTGCAATATAATTTGATACCGATTTATTAAAACTTTTGCAGAAAGCGGAGTACGTATTTCATTTTACATCCCTACTTTATCTCGTGGTGGCTTTTTTAAGGAGTGGGAGTAATTATCCTTATTCTACACCTTTTACTATTTAATTTACTACAGCCTTATTGAAACGTTTGCAGAAAGCGGAACAGTTGGCTACCCTTATCATACAAGAAACTTCTTTTTTACAATCATGAATCTGTATATTGAGGAAAATTATTGGTATAATTATATGAAATCTAATGGTAAAAATGTTAAACCA